CCCCAAAACCCCAAAACCCCAAAACCCCAAAACCCCAAAACCCCATATATTGCAGAATTTATAGAATAAACTGTAAAATTAAAAAATACCTCAACTTAACTTAAATAATATTCACTAATGGAAAAGAAGCTTATTGCAGTTTATGGAGGATCCTTCAACCCTCCCACCATGTCTCACTTCGAAATCCTCAAAATAGTTATGGAAGAAGTCAAGGTCGAAGGAAGAAATTTTGATGAGGTCTGGATGGTCCCTTGCGGCGACAGAAGAGATAAAAAGGTTTCCACTCCCGGAGAGAAAAGGTAAGTTTTCCCGAAACTTATCGGTTAACTAATAATGTAGGCAGAAAATGTGTGAATTAGGCATCAAGGAAATGTTTGGTGATGACGAACGTTATAAAGTAAGTTAGAACTTCAGGCCCTAATAAATTCTGTTATTCATGAAGTTAAGTGAAAAGATTTTATAACACCTCTTAGTAAATATTATTTCAAGTTTATTGTGAATCATTAGTATTCACACTGTCTCCCTAGCTCAATTCATTAAGAGTGGTTATAACTAAGCTAATTAATATTTTATAGGTGCAAGATATTGAAGTTAAAAACAGAAGATCAATTCCAACCTACTACCTTATGCTCGCATTTGAAGAGATGTATCCGGAATGCGAGTTCTACTTCGTCCTCGGCAGCGACCTTCTACCAAGCTTCAAGAGATGGGACAGAGGAGAAGTGATGTTTGAAGAATTTAAATTTATCATCATTCCAAGAGAAGGGTACGAAGATCTTGACTCTGACCTTTACCCGAGATATTCTGAAGTATGCAAATCCAAGGTAGATGACCCATTCGCTACAAGTTCAACTGAAGTCAGGTCAATCATCCAATGGAGCAACATAATATCTCACAAGGCTCACCTAAAAGAGAAGATGGGAAGCGCTGTGTACGATTACATCATCGAAAATAACTTGTTTGCATAATCTAATTTAATTGAACGTAAAATACGTCCGCAAAAGATTTTCAATTCCTAAAATGCTGGAAATTTGAAAAAGTTTCTTTAGTCTCCAGCACCAAAATCTGATTTTTATAATAGTGTATCTTTAGTAATTAGTAACTACTGAAGGTGCAAGGCTAGTACCAATTCGTGTATAAATAGTTGGATTAAAATCTTATAAAGCTAGCATTCACTGTGCTTCTTTATCATATTTCTTGAGGACTTTGATGAAAACAACTTTTACTTTCTCTATCATGAATATGACGAAAGCCAGAGAAGCCTTCAGATATATTCTTTAAACCCACGATGGTTAGGGTTAACTCAACTCAAGGAAGCTTATTGAATTGAGCAAAAGAAATTGAGCTCTTGAGTGAATTATTAAACCTGATAAACATTTTATTAAATCTTTGTGAAAGTGTAACTTAGCCAGAAGCTCAATAAATGGGATAACTTTACAAGTACGAAATTCTCCAAGTCCTTCCATTGTCTCAGCCTGCTAATGCTGAAAATAGTTATTGAGAATTTAAACCCACCTATTGAGCTTTAGATTTTAACAGAGAAGTTCAAATATTTATGGCTGAAACCAGAGCTCTTAACTGAAATAGAATTTATCAAAAACGGGTTGGTTCAATCAGTCAGGCCGATGCGGGGTTTTGGGGTTTTGGGGTTTTGGGGTTTTGGGGTTTTGGGG